TGATCTGTTTCATGTTGCTGCTGATCTGTTTCATGTTGCTGCTGATCTGTTTCATGTTGCTGCTGATCTGTTTCATGTTGCTGTGTTCATGCGTGCTCATCTGCTCACACAGACTCATGTTCATGTTTGTGCTGATGTTCGACGTAATGTTTTTATTAGTGCTTAGTGTATATTTAGTTGATGTTTTTCTTAGTTCATATCTTAGATGTTATTGATGTTTTTCTTTACATTTTTATTGTTGGATGTAACTGGGACCCCGTGTACATAATTTCACTCCACCACATGTGGTGCGAACGACAACAAAGAGTCTCTGACTCTTGACTTCACTCAGACTCCAGGCTTGTTAGTTCTTAGAGTTTCCAAAATCAGAATGGGAGGAAGATCTTTCAGTTATCAGGCTCCTCTCTTGTGGAACCAACTACCAGTTTCTGTCCATGAGACTGACACATTGTCCATATTTAAGAGTGGGCTTAAGACTTTCAAACTTTTTGATAAATCCTATAGTTAGAATCAGCTTGTTGTGCTGTTTTAAGGTTAGACTACTGGGTGACAAATTGACCTCATTTCCTTAAATGATTTGCTAAAATGTAATAGTTTTTATTTGATAACACTGCCTGGCCCAAAAAAAGGTAACCACCTTGATTTAAATAAGTAAACAGGTATGAGCCTCCTATTGGATAATTACTGCATGGGCGATTATCTTTCAGCTGCAACAAGTTATTTAATCCCAACTGGTGCGATGAGTTGCTTCTCATTTCTTAAATAACCATGTTGACAGACACATCGTGTGGTCGTGGAAAAGATGTCAGTTTGTTTGAGAAGGGTCAAATCATTGGCATCAAGCAGAGAAAACATCTAAGGAGATTGTAGAAACTACTAAAATTGGGTTAAGAACTGTCCAACGCATTATTAAAAACTGGAAGGATAGTGGGGACCCATTGTCTTTGAGGAAGAAATGGGGCCGGAAAAAATCCTGAATGATCGTGATCAGCGATCACGTAAACGTTTGGTGAAATCATATTCAAGAAAAACAACAGTAGCACTCAGGGCTGTGTTTAATAGTGAAAGTAAGAACATTTCCACACGCACAATGTGAAGGAACTCAAGGGATTGGGACTGAACAGCTGTGTAGCCTTAAGAAAACCACTAATCAGTGAGGCTAACCGGGAAAAAGACTTCAATTTGCTAGGGAGCATAAAGATTGGACTCTGGAGCAATGGAAGAAATAACCTGTCTAACTCTGAATGCTAGTTAACACCTTGTATCTGTGACTTTCCTTCCCTCCATTGATTGCGGTGACATTATTTACATGAACGCTCCTACAAGAACCCTGCAGATGTTGGATGCTGTCTATCATGGTGCACTAAGATTCATAACTGGCTGTGATTATCGTACCCACCACTGCACCCTGTATTCACTGGTTAACTGGACATCATTAACTTCACACAGACTCTCTCACTGGTACATTTTCATCTTTAAATCACTTCTTGGTCTGCTGCCTTCATACATCTCCTCCATGTCTCTGCGTGAGTGCAGCTACAGCGTGCACTCTCAGGACATTATTACCTGCAGTGTTCCCTCAGTGAGGACTGAACTTGGCAAAAGGGTCTTCTCCTACTCCGCTCCTGTTTCCTGGAATATCTTGCAAAAAGACCTGAAGCTCTCGACCTTGACCTCTCTAAGTGGCTTTAAGAATCAGTTGGACTCCTGGCAGGGACCAATGCAGACATGTTCCTGTTTTTAGTTTACTACATTCGCCTTATTATCTAGCTGTTTTGTTACTTTTTTGCCATCTTATTTGTTTAAAAAAAAAATTCTATATGCCTTTTTATAAGTGTCTGTTGTTGTCGCTGTTGTCCATTGTTTTAATCATTCCTTGTTGAAATCAGGTCTCTCTTGTAAATGAGTCCTCGAGGCTCAATGGGATTTACCTGTCTAAATAAAGGTTGAATGAAAAGAAGGTCATGTGGTCTGATGAGTCCAGATTTACTCTGTTCCAGAGCGCTGGGTGCATCAGGGTAAGAAGAGAGGCAGGTGAAGTGATGCACCCATCATGCCTAGTGTCTAGTCATCAATACAAGATCTTGGTGAAAAATTAATGCAACACTGGATGGAAATAGATCTTGTGACGTTGCAGAAGTTTATCGAAACAATGCCACAGTGAATGCTGCTGTAATCAAAACTAAAGGCGGTCCAATGTAATATTAATGTGTGACCTTTTTTTTTGGCCAGGCAGTGTATTTCTATCTTAACGTAATTCTTGACCTGCCATTGTGTATCTGTTCCTACCAAACCCAATCAGTCGAAGCAGATGACCTCTTGTCCTGAGTCTGGTTCTGCTAAAGGTTTCTTCCTCATGAGGGAGTTTTTCTTTCCACTGTCTCCTTCATGCTTGCTCAAGAAGAGAGTTCTGCGATGGAGTTAAACTCAAAGCAGTCTGCTCCTCAGATAAATAATGTTAAATTATTATTTTTATATATGAATGTTTCTGTTCAGTGTCCTGAGACGACTTCTGTTGTGACTTGACGCTATAGAAATAAACTGAACTGATGTGTTTAGAGTTGTCGTCCTGCTGGAAGGTCGACCCCCACTTCAGTCTCAGATCTCTGAAAGATTCCCAAGAGGTGCCTTCAAGAAACTTTCTGTATTTTGCATCTTCCATCCTTCAGCACTAATCAGTTTCGCATCTCCAGCTACTGAACAACATGCTGCCACCACCATGCTTCACAGCAGGAACACCACTCCTCCCTGAAGCCCACCTCAGTGCAGCTTGTAGTGGTCTTATAGACAGACACCTCTACAGAAGAGCTGCTCCACCAGGGTGTCCTGGACGTGTCTTAGATTAATGTCCTCCGATGACCTTTTCCTGGCTGGGGTGACGTCATCTTTCTATTTTCTAACAATAGGCTTAATGATGAAATAATTTTAATAAAACAACCCCGACCTGTACTTCTCCACATCTTTGCATCTGACCCGAACGCACACTTCCTTGGCCTTCATGCTGCCTCCTACTAAGCAGCAGGTAAAGCTTAGCGTTCAGCTGATGTTTCAAACTGCAGCAGGTTTACCTTCTAAGTGCTGGCTGAGTTCCTCCTTACCTGTCTGCCACGTTGACGTCGAGCCGGTTGCACAGCTGGTGGATGTACTGGGAGTAATGCTCCACCACCGTCATGTTGTAACCTGACACAGTCACGTTCAAGGTCCCGTACGCCTTGCTTGTCGCGGGGATGATCGCTTTCATTCGAGGTTTGTCCTTCTTTTTCTTGGGCTGAAGCAGTTAACACAACACACAGATGTTCACATGAACGACTCGTCCCAGGAGTTTTGGGTTGTTGAAATCAGACTGTAACCCTGAGCAGATCGTTCTGTTAAACACAGACCAACTGCGGTTACAAAAACAACTTACAATTTCTTTTGGTAAAAGATACTTCCACCTCCCGATCCTGTGTGTCGGCATGCTTCTGTACTGTCTCTCATTTACAGATGCTGGACCTGAAGCAGAGCAAGCATCCACTGAAACACTCGGCAGCAGTGACACAAACACTACGATACTTAAAAAGATGTCAGCTTACACCACACAGGATGCTGGATGGATGGTGAGGATCTGGAAAGATTACAGGACAAGGAATGGTTGTGGTTATTATATTATTATTACATGTCTTATAAAAGGAAAGTTATTAAACAGCATGAGATAAATTTTCATTGTTATGCTGATAACACACAATTATATTTGTCCATTAAACCCAATGAATCCAATCAGCTACTTAGACTACAAGCATGTCTTAAAGACATAAAAACCTGGATGACCCTTAATTTTCTCCTGTTGAACACAGACAAGACTGAGGTTTTGGTTTTTGGACCCGAGCACCTTAGGAATGAATGTTTCAGTCTTTCTCCCTCCTTAGATGACATTAATCTGTCCTCCAGCTCTACTGTTAAAAATCTTGGTGTTATTTTTGATCAGGACATGTCTTTTATCCCCCACATTAAAAACATTACTAGAACAGCCTTCTTCCACCTGCGTAATATCACTAAAATTAGAAACATCTTATCTAAAATGATGCAGACAATCTGGTCCATGCATTTGTCACGTCTAGACTGGACTATTGCAACGGTTTATTATCTGGGTGTCCAAATACTTTAAAACGTCTTCAGTTGATCCAAAATGCTGCTGCCAGAGTCTTAACTGGAGTTAGTGGGAGAGATCATATTCCTCCAGTTTTAGCTTCTCTCCAATGGCTCCCTGTCAAGTCCAGAATAGAATTCAAAATCTTACTTCTAAACTACAAAGCCCTCAACAACCTAGCTCCATCTTATATTACAGATTTTATTGTTCCATATTTTCCTAACAGAGCACTTGGCTCTCAGGCTGCAGGTTTACTTGTGGTTCTTAGAGTTTCCAAAAACAGAATGGGAGGCAGATCTTCCAGTTATCAGGCTCCTCTCTTGTGGAACCAACTTCCAATCTCTGTCCATGAGGCTGACACATTGTCCAGTTTTAAGACCGGACTTAAGACTTTCCTTTTTGATAAATCCTATAGTTAGGGTCGGATTGTTATGCTGTCTTAAACTTAGACTAGTAAGAGAACAAATTGACCTCATTTCTTCACTCTGCCTGTTTGTATTTGTAATTATTTCTATCTTGACATGCAGTTTTGTCTTTCCTCCTATAGAAAGTTCACCTGGACCTGCCATTCTATGTTTGTTCCTCCTTCGTGTTCCTCTCAAACCCAGCTGGTTGAAGCAGATGGCCGCTCATCCTGAGTCTGGTTCTGCTGGAGGTTTCTGTTAAAATTGAGTTTTTCCTTTCCACTGTTGCCACTGTGCTTGTTCAAGACGGGAGACTGTGACGAAGTTAAGATTCAGAGTCTGCTGGCTTCTTTAGATACACAACTTTACTATCGGCTTTTGTATGTGCGTGAATGTTTCTGTTCAGTGCCCATAAACTGAATTGAACTAAAACGGTTCTGAACAACGAAGTTATTTAATTCAAATCCTATTCAACATTTTTGACACTTTGTATACTTTTACTGTATGTGAATCCTCAGTTAGCATGACGGGGATGTTTTCTCTTTCAAGCTGACGTAAACATTTTAAAGTTTAAATGACTTACTTACAACCTGCCTGTTTATATTTAATGTCAGGATTTATCGCATCAACTCCCCCCCCCCCTCCCCCAGCAGGTATAAACAGTTAAAGTTGTGTTCAAGCTTTCAGCCATCAAAGTGAATTTGCTTTTGTAGAATATAAGAAACCCGGAGTCATACCTGCATGATGTCAGGGCCTGACTCAGCACAAAACGCTGCTGTGTGACCAAAACCTGCAACAGAATAAAGATTTCATATTTATCTTCCACTTATTAACATAATGTACGAAACACAGCAAACTCAGCTCAAATAAAGGACATGGACTACTATAACTTGTTTTATAAAAACTTTATTGTTCAAATAAGATCTTTTATTTCTCAATAGAACAGAGATTTATGTTTTTAGTAACGTTATTTTATCTATAACAATAAGTTTTCACATAAGAATGACTAAAAGTCAATGTTAACACGTTGAAGATGCAAGATTAAAAATCGAATGTGGAAGGTACATGTTTGTTGCAGTATTAGTGAAAACATGAACGTAAAATGCAAAATGGGTATTTGTAATAAACTTTTACATTATAACTTCATACAGTTCTGTTTTACTGTGTTGCAGCAACGCGCCTCCATGTGTTGCACAAACGTGCTGATTTAACTTTTAAATGCCGACGTGGTGCAGGAAAAATAAAAAAAGAAATAGTACTTGGTTGGTTTGATTCTCAAATTCATCTCCTGTCAGAACCACAGGTCACGTGAACTCAGTCGGTTTATTGATCTTCATTTCACTCCAATGATCAGAGCGAGATTTAATTTCACTAACGGTTCAGCTCCGTGTACGTTTCACTCATGAGCTTTCTTATTCACATGTTAAAGGTGTTTTGGGGGTTTTGCACACAATGTTTGAGTCTTCTTAAGATAATCTGGTGATGATCGACAGTTCATGAAAAGCACAGAGACGCTCAAAAACCAACATTATGTACATCCAAGGCTGTCCGCTCAATTTTACAACCGTACTTTTTAAATGGTTAAGACTGTAGGAAATAAAGAAAGCATCATTTGAAGTTTACATAAATATTTTTTTCTAAAATGAAAATCTGTACAAAAACAATTGAATGTTAAAAGCTGAAACCAAACGTACTGTTTTTACCTCATCACCTTTTAGACCAACATCATCAGGCTGTCGTGCTGCTTTGAACGTCCGTGCCTCAAACAAGTCATCCATCTATCCATCCATCCATCCATCCATCAATCCATCTATCCATCCATCCATCTATCCATCCATCCATCTATCCATCCATCCATCTATCCATCCAGCCATCCATCCATCCATCATCTTTACCCACTTCTTCCTTTTTGAGTCAGTGGTGTCCATATCCAGCAGTCACTGTGTGAGAGGCAGGGGACACCATGGACAGGTCTCCAGTCCATCACAGGGACACATACAGACAAGCATTCACCCTGTCACTCACACCTAGAGACAATTTAGAGCAGGGGTAACTGAAAAAACTGTGTAAAAAAGGCAATAAATCAAATATTAGGCAACATATATTATCTTAGGTTTTTTGTTTGTTTTTTTCCACATACATTTAACCACAATTTGTAAAATGTGTGTGGTTCAAGAATTGAATGTGTTCCACTAATATCTATGCTTCAGAGACGCTACTGATAAATAAACACATTTCAAAAGGTTTCATGTTTAATGGCGATGTGTTGTCTCAAATATCTTGGCCTCGGACAGGCAATTCAACAGTTTAGAAACGAGCAATATCAGCTTTACTCTGACGATGTCCATCTTTATGGTGTTCATTCAAGCAAGGTGAATTTCATAATTCAACAAAATCCTTGGCTAACAGAGAGAGGTTACGAGATGACTACTTGCAACTGAACTCTTGATCGTTGCTTCTGGAAACAAGGTTTCACAAATTAAACATGTAACTGGCGTCTTGGATCCTTCTGTTCAGTCCAGCCTCAGAAAATCTGGTTTCATCTGATGCCTTTAAAGCGACACGTGAAACAATTATCACAGCAAATTATCACTTTCATCTCAGGAACATCCCAAAATTGAGAAGTTTCTTGTGAAAAACTGACCTTGTGAGGATCATCGCTGTTATTTCCTCCCACTTGGACTATTAACAGCTTATTCACATGTTTAATGAAGAAGGAGCATCTTCAGGTTGTGCAGAATTTGGCTGTAAGGTTGTTTACACACATAAACAAACGAGCTCCCATCACACCTCAGCGTCCCTTCACTGACTCCCAGTTCATTTTAGACATTTTAAATTCTAGTTTGAACTTTTGGAGCTTTGAAGGAACATCGGTCTTGGTTCATCCCTACACTCCATGTCAGAGGTTGTGCAGTGGTACCTGCACCACTTCAACTCTTGGACTGGTCCAGCCTTCCAAGCACTTGCACCCGAATTTACTGCTCCCATTTTTAAGCAGTTTAGATTCTATTACATTTTTAAAACACATAAAAACATGCTTTTATAAACATAATTTAAACTATAGGGTTATGTGATATTATATGAACGGTGTTAGATAAATAAACTTTACACACTAAGGTATTTTATAAGTAATAATTCAACGGTCTGTTGTGACCTCTAGCATCTATCGAGGAGAGCTAAAAGAAAATTTACCTTCCGGAACACGGAGTTCATCTTCGCTGCTGTTTGAGCGTAATGTGGGTCAAAACTAACTCCCTCTTTAAACTAAACCACATAAAACACTAAATATCATCTAAATACACGCCGTTCACGCCATATGTTCATGTGCCTAATCAAACCGGAAATAAGCACCAGCAATAAGAACGTGTGTTGCGTCCGTCAGCCACACGGACATGAACAAACGTTCCGCCTTTCTCCAAACATTTATCCTCCAAAAAAAAAGAAAAAAGCAAAATTTTTTTAAATTTTCTACGTAAAACTGCTATTTTAAAAATGTTTTTGTAAACATAAAACATCTCTGCTCATTTAATTTATCTAGGAATATATTTTATTGGAGTTTTTTTATTTTTTTTATAAAATATTTAGTTTTGATTCTATAGTTTACATATATTTGCTAAAGTTCTACATTTTATATATGTTTTGCTTTTTTTATAATTAGTAATGAGAGAACAGGGTCGCTGATGATACAACCATTCAAAATGAGTTTTTTCTGCATAGTAGCTGGGCTTTTAAAGGATAGGATCAGAAGTAGCTGTTCCTCTGCATCAAGAGGAACCAGTTGAGACGGTTCAGGCATGTAGTGAAGATGCACCCTGAATGATGTCCTAGGGAAGTTTTCTGGGAATGTCCAAGTTGGAGAAGACCCTGGTGAAGACAAAGGGCACACTGGAAACTCTCTCAGATGGACGAGAACACCTTTGAATCCTCCTGAAAGAGTTGGAAGAGACGTCTGGGCCTCACTGCTCAAGATGCTGACCCTGTGACCCAACTCTGCGAAAAATGGAAGATGAATGAATGAATGGCTTCTCAAACTTTGAGGTCCAGAGATCCCAGCAGCTACTCCCAACATATTTCATTTGGAGTGTTAGATTTACTGCCTTGTGGACACGTTCAGCTGGTTTTAGCCCATTAATACGACCACTAACATTAGACCTGACGTGAGCTCAAAAGCAGAAATAGCTGCAGTGAAGCCTGTTATGTGGTGGAGGTATTCAATTTAGTTTTTATTCATCATGAGCAGATGGACCAGAAAGCTGAGGAGACAATAAATGGGACATTTTCACCAACAGTTCTGAGGCGTGTGTGGGGCTGATAGGTCAAAGGTGAAAGCTTTGACCTTGTAATCAGAAGTCTGTGGGTTTGATCTCTGGTTGGAACATTTGTC